ACGCTGGCTTCCACGCTGGATTTGCTACCCTCGCGTTATCAATCGATAAGGTGTGAGGCAGTAATTGTTGGACGAGTGTAAGCCCATGGAAGATATGATACCATGAGATAAGAAGGTGCGGCTGCTTGATAAGAGGTGCACTCCAGATGGAGAAAACGGGACGATAACGATACGGTATCATATCTAGCACGCTCTTATTGTACACCCTTTCCACATCGATAAGTCTTGTTTTTGCTAACCGGAAGTGGATTTCGGCGCCTTATCACTCCGTTGATAAGGCGCCACTGCCACTGAAACTTCACGTGTTCTAACATTGGGCAGGACCCCTATCCACTCCAGTACACAGCTTTCCTTATCGTCCCTATGAGAATTATCGTGACCACTTCCTTTAAATGTTACCAGCCTTAATTATTACAGTTTTTTACAGTAGCATGGGTCTACTTCTAAAACACATTTTATAAGACAAAGCGCGTCACCCTGCGATTCTGAAGTGAAGTATTCACAATGGATTGTGTACCCAAAAAGAACTAGTCAACGCTGAATACTTGACCACATTTGGGCGTTTTGTTCGCTTCATCAATCATACTTCGGGGTCTTCATCAAAAAGTTCAAAACTGCTTCAGATTTCATCTGACCTTTTCATGTAACGCACGTCAAACGATGCTTCTCTAAAATGGTTTCGATTGACACGATTTAGTGCAAGAATCTTTGAAAGCCCTTTGTTTGATTTAGCGGGACGACAAGAAAAGGACAAAGCAGATAAAGTCATGCTATAAGGGCATTCCAATTCACATTGATCAAATTCTGAGGCAATTACATTGAGATTGTCTCCATTAGATAGACTCGCTAGCGTGAGTGCTCTGAAAAAACGTCCTTAAAAGTCCTCACCCTATTGTTTATAAAAGAGCATGAATAGAAGCCGAATGAGCAATTTAGGGTACATGCTCAGAAAACATACAAGAAATCAATGATGAAATGAGAATTTTTTCGAACCCCTTTTTGTGTTCTCCTGAGAACTTTTGTGAAAAAATTCACCTAATTCCCCGAAACAGACCGAATAATTATGTCGAATAATTATGAAATATATAGAATAGGAAATGCTATAGAGAGTAGGAAAGCGTACACAACGTGCGAGTGCTATTCATTGGATTGGTCAAGTAGGCTCTTACAGATTCACAATACCTAAGTTTTGACATGATAGGAGGATTATCGGTCAAGTGGTAGATTTCAAATAATTGTTTTGTGAAATAAATAACTTTTCCTATCACGTATGTAGGCCAAACATTCAGACAGGGCGCAAGACCAGTTTTGTGAACAGTAGTCAGTGGTTTAAGTTTGTTTCTTTTGGAAACTGAACCTTCTAGCGTAAAATATAGTATTTATGTAGGAAGGAGGGTGGTAAGGCGGAAGTGGTGTAGTGGCAAGTGGCACGCTTACCACGCGAGCGGTCCGGGGATCAAATCCTGGGTCGTGAGTCGCCCGGGCCAACCAAGCCTTCCATCCCTCCGGGGTCGGTTAATTGGTACCAGACTTGTCTGGGAGGATAAAAACACTGACTTGTACATCGGCTGGCCCCCGCAAGTCATTGTATAGGCCACATCGCATTCAAACGCCACTACGAATGTACAAATGGAAGTAGAATGCGTGCCGCATCCCAAAAAGGGATTGATCAACGGCAAATGCTTTATCCTTTATTTTCCTTTAAGGATGCAAGAAAGAGCGTAGCAAGTACGGAACCACAAGTAATGTGCGTTCAGGCAAGGTCCAAATAAATCCCGTTCACTTTTACGCTCTAACAAATTTACACGGTGTTGATTGTTCCAACGCCTGTATAAGTTCTAGCGGCTGGAATATTAAAACTTTTGATAGTGCTGTTTTCTTCTGTGCCAAACAGGTTGTTACGGTGGAACACGTTTATTGGTCAACGTTTCGAAAAATCATCGTCTACAGGACCTGAAACTGGGTTCGAAGTCCTAGCTCTGTAACCACAACAGGTTAGTTCGTTCGCTGGTATCGTCTATTTTGTATTATTTTGCGTTAGAACTCAGCAAGATTAGGCGCTTTACCGGGTGAGCTACAGAGCTAGGACTTCGAACCAGTTTCAGGTCCTGAAGACGACGATTTGTCGAAACGTTGACCAATAAACGTGTTCCACCGTAACAACCTGTTTGGCACAGAAGAAAACAGCACAATATTCAAAATGCCCAGGTTCCAGGAAAACCGAACATGGAGTTTATTGGCAGAGTCGGACTTCTGCTAGTCTGCCTGGTGTTTGAATTGACACCAGAACCAGTGCTTATTTTTCTTTTTGCTATCCTCATGCAGCAAGAGCGCTAAAATATCAATATCTGATGAGGAAGGAGACATGTTCTTTTTCGTGGGCGATTTCTTCAGCCCTATTTGTAGCCTGACACAAGCCACGACGAATAAACCACATATGCCGATCAAGCGGTCGCTTTCAAGGTCAAGCTTATTAGTTTCGTATATAATGTTTGCTTTATCCCTTCAGCAAGCACGTCCACCTCATACTGCAGGTGGGAATGGTTTCTGTTTTTCTCTGGGAATTTCTCCCGGCGTGAATTGCTTTAATCCTTCCGTCACGTCTAAGCTCTCGAGTGACTCACCTTGATGTAGTACCGTATAGTGCCGTGTCGACTCTCCAACGAACATGGCAATGTGGTCTGCGGCAAATCGAAAGAGAATGGGAATTGATGAAGACCGCGAGCCAGGATTGGAATCCCCTCCGATTCGTCATTCTTGTCTGAAAAAAATGAAATGGTCAGAGGATTACAAATTTAAGCTCGAACATCTTACTCGAGGGAGATGCACTATCGATTGAGTAATGTATAGTAATGTAACAAAATATAGACCAAGAAAGAGCTGCTAGTAATAGATCTGCTTTATTTCATTGGTTATTTCTATCTACTTGTTGTTTTGTTTGTGTTGTTGACATATTTATGTACCTATGTTTACAAGCATCTCTTTATTTACATACAACACATTTTCTTCTGGAAATTGGCGCAAAAACGAGCAGGTATCATCAAACAAAATGAGCTATTGCTTCTTACAAACTTAATTTTTTTCTTCTCCATTCTAAAAGCTCTTTCGAGAACCTAAAGGTATCGTACTTTTGGGAACATTTTCGAGTATATTCGGGGTATCAAAAAAGAAATTCTCCGAGAAAGGTGAGGATGATTTTCAGTATTGGGTGCCCTATAAGAATCGTCCGCTTGAACAGCAGTAATCTGTGCCTTCATGAGCCATAAGTTTGAGAACTAAACTCCACGATAGGAGCAAACAAAGTAGTTTGTTGTGAAAAAATCTTGAAAAGCTAGGACTGTTGTGCGCTCGAATTCCCGCTGTCACAAACTGATAGTGGGAGCGTTTACACTAGGAATTTTGATAGTGCACCTTAAGGGACGATTCACATGAAAGGCAAACCATTGTTCAAATTACTTCGCGATGCGGGTGTACTCTAAAGAAGGAACACAGGGAACGGGCAGAACTGAGAATGGGACCCCCTCCTTGCCCGTTGAACTTGAGCATTGATCCGCTACGCTCGTGTGGCCCGCTTTACATACGCTCTTACCTATCTAATCGCTCGCAACGAGGTAAGCGAACCAGCCTTTGGGCGTTTCGGCTGGACGTATGAAGAAATGGTTGGGCGAGGGAAATGGAACGTTCCCCAACGGCGACGCGTTTACTTCAACTCGGTTGGTACGATAGAAGAGAGTGATAGTGCTGGTCCAGCAGCTCCGCCAGAAGGGCTGGTTTGCTCACCCCAGGACTAAGCCTTGGAGAGGGGACGGACCCGTCCTCTCTTTAAGGCTTAGTTCTGAGGTAAGCACCAAATTGTGGCGGTTCTAAGGACCGAGTTGAAGTGTCCGTCACCGTCGGGGACTCCATCCTACCGCCACATAATCAAATACCGGGTCCGCCAAAGCGCCAAAGGTATGGTTTCAATTATCAGCGCTCGCAGTATAGACCTGCTGCAGGTGTCAGATTTCATGGGTGCATGATAACGGATCACTGCGCAGGTCTACACGTGCATTGCGTGCTATACGTGCGAGGCGAGGGTCTTGTTCCATGCGTCATTGTATTCGCCCTCTACCCGCGACATTTCCCCAAAGTGTTGTATAGTTTGTTCTTCAAAACTGAATTTCTTGCGTAAAATTAGCATCTATGTTCATGGGAATGACGCTTAGAATTTACGTTGCACGTTCCTATTGAGTAATTATGTTATATAGTCGGAAAGCATAAAATTACCGAATGCCGGTCTATGAGAAATTTCGATGTTCGATACTTGGATAATATGTATTATCAAATGGCAGCTAGAAAATCGCAGCAATCTCTTTTTCATATTCTGAGCCACTTTGCACGTGCATATGACATAATAGATAATGATCTCACGCGCGTAAAATCAATTCATGATTGTCGTGGTGTTGTAATAAGTAAATGTAATAAGAAAAAGCAAAACGAGAACAATTCAACTAGGTTATGTTATGAAAAGCAGTGGGTTTTACAAGTCACGCGTGCCACGCGATTGGTTCAAGCGCCATCGGGTTCAGATCCATTCCCGTGCCACCTAGACGACCTGTATAGCCATTGTCTCATTCACACGCATGAGTTGCGCGACGTCGCGCAGGTGCTCCAATGGATTGCACAAATCTCGCCTAGAACCAAATGCTGCCACAGTTTGTAAACTATAGAGGGTAATGAGTTCAAGTCGAATGTATATTGAAATAATCTGTTCTAACTAAATAGATTGAATAAGTTGTCTTTTGCAGCCCCCCCCCACCCGCTAGAAACATGATAGAAATTTCGATGGAGATCGATATACTATTATCTGCTTGATGTACATGACAAGTTTTTGCATTTAATTAGTGAGTCTCTATCTCGAATAATCCCATGATTCCTGGAAACACTCATTGAACGCAGGACACGTATTATCGTTGACGCATATAGTTAGCGGCTAGGAGGATTATCTCTATATATAGACCCATATGATACCGCTAAATTCTATGAAGGTGGACTATGCAGGAATTTGGACATTTCACCTGGTGACACATCGTAGTAGAGTGAGCAGCGATTTCTGAGATGGGGAGGCCGGTCATGTAGAAATGGTAGCAGATCATCTGTTATTGGGGGCCGCTAGTCACTTTGCTGTGGCGAACAATACGTACATTCGTCGAGCTAGGCTTCAGCAAAGATGGATCTAGTAAGTGAATCTCAAATCTTGTTGATCTCTATAATCAGAAAATTCAGACAGCTTGTGTGGAAGTCTTGGTGGGCATACAAGGATGACGGATATGGTGCTTGCGGACGACGCTGCCGGCGATATATGATGCGGAGTTCGGCTGTGCGTTTGATGCAGCGGGATCGCACTATTATGCCGCACACTCCTTGCTATGCTGCAAGGGCTGCGATTATCAATATCTAATCGACCTAGCTGTTCGTATTTTCAGCATATAGAAAAGCCCAGAAAAACACTTGGATGTAGACATAGTCAGTTAGAAGCAGCTTCGGCTGTCCTGATGCTGATAGGGCAAACTGCGGAGTTCCGAGGAGAAGTGTGACAACCCTTCCTAATGTTTTTGATCTTTCTGAGGCTTATTCAAAGAATCCTTTGGAGTCGTCGCAGCAGTCTTATACTTATCTGAGTAAGTTGTTTGATTCTATTTGAGGGAATGAAATCTGAATTGAATTCGCCCGAGGAATTAAAATGAGGGACACGCTACAAATACCTTCTATTTTTTCATTAGATATTGAAAAAGAGATCGGACATTGTTGGCAAGCTGGCAGTTGTTCAAATAATGGCGTTCGTCGATAGTTGGTCAAGAAAAGCTATTAGTAATAAGTCTCTCACACCATTAAAGGGAACTGCCACGAAAAAGCTCAGCAACATCACCAGAAACGAACCTTAGGCCCCTAGCCTCATGAACATAGCAAAAGAATGGAACATAGGCGTTAGTTTCGATAATACTAATCCTACACACAAGACAAAATGATCACTCTTTCCGTGGAAGATTCCTTTAAGGTATTGTTTTCTGTGGTAATGAAGGCGGAGCTTTTTCCGTGGAAGATTCCTTTAAGATCTATTTGTAAGAGCCAGGAACCGGTTTACAGCAACAGCGTAGTAAGAAGATGCAGCACGGTTCAGGATATCGGGACGGCGCATCAATGCCCTGTGGGCAGCGTCTTAGTCGACATCACTATCCGGACATTCCCTGAACTTTAAGGGTTCCTCCGACCGGGGACAAATCCCCTAGCCTCGTCTTGAGGAATTCCTCCTTGACGGCAGAGGTGCGAAGGATCAACGGCCACGATTCAGGTTTTCTGAGGACGAAGTTGCAGTCCGAACGATGTGATCGCATCGGTCGTTCGGACATGTAGGGAAGGCTACTGCTAGGCCTTATTCAGAATGCTAGCTCACCCAAAAAAACGCTCAGGTAAAATAAATCGAGAGAAAAAAAATTCGAAAAAAATTGGGTGCTGCCGCCCTTATTGGGTGTATGTGCTCCACAAGTCAAGCTACAGCAGGAATCTCTACCAACCTTATTTTGAAGATCTATTTCAGGAAAATTTCTAGCTCAGTCGGAAATTGGTGCAGTAAGGGATGACCAAAAACAAAAAGCGATCGTCTGCTGCAAAGCAGCTTATTTTGAATTCAAGTGACTATTTTCAGGAGCGCTTATTTTGAAAAGGACTCTGCAAATTGCCTCCCACACAAGAGCTCATTTCTTAAATCAAACATTTCTACATTATATGGAGGCGCAGGTATTGAAGTGTGGACATTGTACCACAATATGCCATTTCAGAGGAGCTTCAGCGAAGGCACGAAACACATTCGCAGCAGCCACGCGTCCGTGGGAAGTGCTTGGTCCACTGCCTAATGCGATTAGCTTAGAGCTAGAAACAATTGCATGAACGAACTATGACATATTAGTTCACTTCCAAGCGCCAAAAAAGGGTTTGAGGATCAGGAGGATAGAGTAGTTGACGTACGGTTGAGCAAATCTCTTTGGGTGCGACATGCCTCGTACTTCCATCCGAAGTCGTATTGACATCTTGATTAGGATTTGGCGTATACAATGGCCTGACTCAAAGAGGCCAGCCGCCGTGAACATTAAAGTATTCAGCTCTGTTAGAAGACTGCGAGAGCACTTTGCTATCCCAATGGGACTGAAGGTTTGCCGAGCTTGGGTGCGACTCAAGCAGAGAGGTAATTTGTGGTCAGTGGTGCCACTAGTTTCTATATCATGTTGGCCTTCGGATATGCGCACTCTTGATAAATTTCGATCGGATTTCTCCGCATATGTTGTGGAATAACTCGTATGAGCAATTCAAGTGAGGCGACTTTCTCAAAAAGAAAGTGCAGAAGTTAAACGAGAACGATGTGGAAAAGCTACAGGACGATTCGTACTTGCGTTGCATATAGCATCCAAATCCACTCAAGGCTGGCTTACTTTAGCAGAACACTCATCCTGAGGACATCATCTAATTATCATCAGCCTCGTGAGCGAGAATAAAAACGTTGAGCTGATTATCGGTTAGCTTTCCCGACTGCTGGACTTGTGTTCCCCATGTGCTCAAATACCTCTATAGAAACTGAAGCTAAAACGGAATCGTACTCAAAAGCGAGGCACATATGGAGTGCTTATCAGCCTTGAGCCTAGATCGTTTCCAGGGTAAGTTTGCCAGGTGCCGGGTCGTGATCGAATTGCTGTGTAACCTGGTTTGAGAAGCAGATAAGAATGCGAAGAGGAACGTTGAAGGGAAGACAAGCGGAAAACACCATACGTCCAAAGAAATTTAATTATGAGGTGACTGTCTACCGTGGTACGACCGGGAGACGCGGCGCTGCAGAGGAGCGTAACGCGAACGGAGAGCAGGATTATGTGCGAGAGCGTAACATGCTGCGTTGGGAGAATTGCGCGATCGCCAGCATGTGCGAATGCACGATAACGCAATCCCTGTATTGTCTGTGCTTTTAGTCGCAACGTTATCACTTCCCCTCGTGTATTAGGGGACCGCTATCTCGTCATAGGGGCCGATGTCTTGAGATCTGATAGCGGATCCGTGCCTGTTAGGCCAGCATCGACTACTTAATAATGTTATGTCAACTCGGTCTCGCTCCTCAAAATCATGCTTTATTTTAATAGCCGGCGCAAGGAAGGAGGTTTGACATAATTGCGACTCAGGAGGCTTAACGGAAGATATGGCAGTAGAAAAATAATAAATTTCATGGAGCGGTTTTCAAATGGGTGAGCACGATGTGGCCACTGCCATATGGTGCGCTCTATTTCGGAGAGAGCGTTAGTGTGAGACAACATCACAAGTGACGCGCATATTTTTTGGCTTTAGTTCTGGCCGTGTCATTTGTTGGTGTGTGGCTGCAATCGACGCTATCTCGGTTCGAATAGAGTTATCGGACCGCATTGCGGAATTTCTGCTTGCCCATCGATCCTGTTTTTATGAGCGAAAAGTACGGGGACTGTGTCAAACAAACGTGGGTAGTACAGCTAGGAGCACAGCTTTTCTTTTCTAAGATTGAGCTTTTTGAAGGATAGAATATGCATGTAATAGCATGTGCATGGAGCGAGAGTGTTTAGGCAAACTACAAACAGTGAATGGCCAAATCTCGCGGACTGGAACTATGCCCTCTTGACGGACAAGCGGAGTGACGCTCAAGGAATGAAGGGAATAGGCGCAGTCATTTTGAAGTTGAACATCCATAATTTTCTGACGTAGGAAGAAGAACAAATTAGTAGAGAAAATCAATGCGGTAATTAAAAATCATAACATGACTTCATAAAATCGTTAATGATGTTTTTTGGGGACCTGTCAGTTAGGGGGGGGACATAGGTTGGAACGCACGAAATGTATCTAGCAACCAAGGATGGGATTCTCTTTGGTTAGTGCTAGAGGTTAGGATAGCCTAAGGAGAGGAAACGTCTCCGGTGTAAGCAATCTCGTTTTTCCGGGAACTTTTCCCCTCTTTCTAGGCTTATTCTCAGTGCTAGCAGCTCACTGGATAAATATGTATTAATTTTCACAGACGTTTATGTTATGAAACACAAGAACACATACATTATAAAAAACCAGAAGAAACAACGTAGGAATAAAGCTGATAGCAGTTTGTAACTTTAAAGGACTCCTTGAGCCAAACTGGCATTAGAGCAGACAGTGCACTGCCCCCCCCCCTAACTGGAATAGACCCTCTTTGGTTTCGAAGGAATTTCAAAATAGATACCTTTTCCCCAGATGAGTAATTTCTCGTCCAACACATACTGATCGTCTTTGATCGTTCGGCGTTCACCAGATTTCACGACTTTCAATGTGGCATGAACTTTTCCCCGAAGCAGAACACGAATCCCTGAAATTGAGCCGCGATCGAATCCGTGCTAAGGACATTCAGCGGCGAAAGGAAAACGATTAGAAGCATGAATAGACGCCGAAATGAGCCTCTTACAAGCTATATGGATGAGCAAAAAATCTCCGACCAACTGACCTTTGATCTTGATATTCTCGGTGTTCTCAAGCAGAACACTTCCATTGATTCGTTCACCGGCATAGAAAATTTCTTTAGCGAGACGGATGTCGAAACTTGAAATGTAGTCCATCTAGGAAGGTTAGCGAACCCTTCACGGGTATGGGTAACCCTGAAAATAGACCAACTGATTTCTATATGTTTTTTTTCGCAATCGATAGAAGAACGGCGTAGTTTCCAAAAAGGGTTACATCTAAAAAGAGAGCTTGCACTGTGAACATTTGGGGAATACTTTGTGAAGGAAAACGAGGACGTCGGAAGTGATGCCATTGTGGCAATCATCTGAGAGAAAGAGACTCTTTCTAAGAGTTGTTAGAGCTGATTTATGAGCGCATGACCGAGTCTGGACGTCTTAAGGCTTCAAAGAGCAGCGGCTGCTAGCTTAAGATGGCGCTGCTGCAAAAATGGATACGATTTTGAGCAATATTAGAGACTGCGCTGACGGCTGCCGAGGCGATTGGGTTGCCCGGCTTGGTGGAATGTCCGATTGAGTACAAGTGCAAAGTTGGTTGAAGCACTTCTGAGGTGAAATAGACGCGATTGGAGAATGTCAATAGTCCGAAAGGAATGCGCGAGTAATTAATGTCTCTCGGGGCGACTCCGCCTTCTCTTCGCCACAGCGCCTGGAGGCGAGAAAATCGAGTCACCACCGTTTGGTGATGTTTACCCGACATGAAGTCCGATGTCCACGAAACTCGACCTGATTGGCGCATCCGACATTTGCAGCGAGGCGCGGAATCGGCCAAAAGTGGTAGAATGATGGTATGAACAAAGCAAAGCTACAGCCTGGGTATTTTGAAGAGGCATCGAAGTTCGCGTTGCCAAACTGAGTTTGTAATCGTAAAAATGTCCATAAAAGGCAGAAACCAACTAGCTTGGATGATGGATAGCATTGGATCCTCAACTCAATAGAGATATGTCAGTCATGGCCGACTCTCAGGAGAGGGTTCTAAAACATGCCAGCGCTCGACAACGAGAGAGCGAGAGAGGGAGGGCAAGGGACATCCCTAAGGCGGGTTGATGAGAAGGGCTCAGTCAGCTCATAATGGTAAGTCGGGCGGCGGGCGTGAGCCAATTTCATAATGATTCAGAGGTTTCGTCGTTGTGGTTGTCGACGAGTGACGGCGAAGGTATAGTGGTCTATCGATTCTAAGCCGCTTCCGTCGGAATTGCCTGCTACCGCAGCATAGCCATCAGGTGGGCCAGACGAGACCAGTTCACCTCACTTTGACGGAGAATATTAAGCTCGGCTCACTGCTCAACCCAAAGCGCTGATTTCTCTTTGCTGCCTAAGCTCAAAGAATACTTGATACCCGCCAATCAGACCTCAGAACTTCTCAAGACTTTCCAGGATTCGCTAGGGTCGATCGGTGCAACATTCCCTCCCCCAGGTGAGTACTTCAAAGACCTGATGACTTTGGCCCAGTGATTAAGAAAGATCAGAAAAAACCAAATATCAAAGAGAATGATGCAATGCTGGGAGGCGCCACCCAGGGATCAGACCCTGTATATCTTTAGCCGGGACAACCGGCTAAACCCTCTTATTGTCCGCGATGAAATTCTCATTTCTGAAAACCGCGTAAAATGGAGTTGGCGTTGGGCATCATTGGCTCTTGCGTCTTCTGGCGCGTTTATTGTTCCAGCCTCGAAGGATAAAAATTTCATGTAGCATGCTCATTGAAGCAACTTAAAACTTTCATATCGTAAGAGGGGGGACACTGAAGTAAGTGAGCCACTCATAGAATCTGGAATTGAGCTTTGGGGATAGGATGAGATCCCGTGGAAGGACGTGAGCAACCGTTGATTCCCTAGTGTTTTTCGTATTCCTAGCGATTATCCAGCGTCAGCTAACTCCAGCACTGTTTCGCTTCCGCTTATGACAAACACCGGTATCTCCCTGACAGTCAGCCATCTGTTACTACGCGTGTGTTATGTCTACACTCTTCGAAAGCTTCTACCCTCGCCAGTGCCATCTCCCCTAGGTTAACATGACACGATATCCGGCTGGCTTAGCCGAGCATGTTTAGCCCTCACGGTTCCCTCACTCATGAATGAGCCCCGGGCTGAGGAAAAACGTTCCTGAGTTAGAAAAAAAAAACAACACCTCTACTATATTTTTACATCAGATATTTCAAATTGCCATTCTTTAAGTTTTTTTTTGTTCTTCGTATTTTCTTATAAGAACTAGACTGATAAACCGGTCTATCGAGACAGTTACTCGAAAAATGTTACAAGATTCTTTTACGTTCACGGGTACTTATCGTCGATCTTACTTGTCCTAAGGAGGTCTTTGCGTTTCATCTTCGCGATGTTCGAGAACAAAGTTCGCCGGTCGTTTGCCGAAATAGATAGGTACGCACATGAAAAACGTATGTATTACGAAGAATTAGACAGTAGTAGCGTAGGAATTGCGTCTGAAGAAGTAATTGAAATATCGTATCACGAAGATCGCCAAGAGGTAGTTAGCATGCATAATAGGATACGCAATAGAGTTCCGAGTAGAGTTAGGAAGTAATTCACTGATGTTAGAATATGCGCGACAATATGAAATGTAGATATCATATTCGCATGAATCGCCCGAGCACACTACTCTCGCAGCGTATTACAATCGGATCTAACATCGCAATCTTGTACAGCGATAAACTCCAATACCTAATACTATCTGAATCTCTATTGCGCCTCCTGTCCTAGGCGGTATTTCTCCTTTCCCTTCCTGTTTGAGTGATCAGAAATATCCTTCACAATTAATTTGTTTTTAACGTAGTATTCTCATTTTCTAAAATGCATGAAATTTTACTTGTGACATACAAGCATACATTAAATCTAGACCCATTTAGACAATCCGCTGGAAACGGAGAAAATTAGAGAGAAATTTGTCGTCCCCCAAACCTCCTAGGGGAAGATTGAATACCGCCCCCTAATCTTATTCCAGAGTCGCGACATGAACGCACCTAACGTTTGAGACGGCGGTACAATCGAGTGGCCTCCACTCGTTTTCCTCCAAAATGCTCATTTGCATGATATCCCCTGGGACACCCTCGCATAGTCTAGTTCCAATCACTAATCAATGAACATTGCGCAATAGCCTTCCCAGCTGAGTCATTCATGCTATCTGATATTGTGTAGATTGTTTCATTTATCTCGGAATGGGGGTATAGCTGGGGTGAGAACATGTATCAATGGTTGTAGCTGAAGGCTCAAGTATAGAAGTAGGGGAAGCGAGAGGCGCAGAACGACGAAGCTGCATAGAGGCGTGAGGACTACTGGCGGAAGAGGCATCGACGCGGGAGTAGGGACGTGAGATGGGCTATCACGTCGTGGTTACAAGCAGTCTATAAGGCACTATATCATGGGGTAGCGGGGGTAGTGCGTGAGGTGGAAGGGGGTTGGGCGGCGATGAGAGATTTTATTATTGTGTTAATATTTTTATATTCGGAAAATAGGAAAAACGAGAAATTCCAGAAGATTTAGAGTTAAGTGAAAAGTGGGATTTGAGATCTTAGAGCAAAGTTGATCCAGGAGAAATTAAGATTTCTCACGACATGCGGAGCACCGGATACGTTCCAGCGTTGCCATAGCGACGACGTCCAGCTCCGGCTGATTACCAAACCTATATCACCTGCTCAACACACCTTTCCAACTCTTACATAAAATTCCAGTAAGTCAAAACAAAGAAAAAGTGAAGCGGAAGGGAAGATCAGAAACGAGTCAGAAATGTGGGCCATAAGAAGACGAGGAATTAGCGATCGAGAAGGATGATGAATGGTTGGAGGTGACACCTAAGGCCAGTTAAGACCTCATAAAACACGCCATTCAAACAATGACTATGTGCGCATTGCTACGAGAATCCTGGAAGGACTAGAGCTAAAGGGCGGAGCCACTCAACTAATTTCAGTAGCACACATTTTGCACCCTTGATGGACAAATTTCCCCATTAGTGTTGATTTCCGTCAACGGCTTACGTGCAGGCGGCGAAGGCGTTGGGCAAACTGCCATTCCTCATAGCCAGTGTTTTTATGCAGCAAAGGGGAAGACCTGCTGGATTAGGAAAATTGCCTCAGTTTAACTGATTCTAGGATTAGCATCTGGTCCATGGAGAGCCAACCAGCTTCGGGGAGATATTGAGCACCTAGGGATATAAAATAGGATATATTAGTATTTGTAGGTAGAGGCCACCTGAAGTAATCACACATTTCTTCGATAACACTGAAGAGTGAGAGTTTCTGTGAAAAGTTGTGAGGCAGGACCGGATTTTCTCAGGACACAAAATGAGGTATTGGCGGTTTATGCTCGCTTTCCCCTTTCGAGCCAATTTTGTCCGTTTTGTTGACTCTACCCCTATGTGCACTTGGAATAGCGCCCATGGGTATAATCGAGCAACATGAAGGAGTGATATATGTTTCAATACGAAGGACGGGCCGCAAAAAGCTGAAACTTTCGGGAAGGATGTCACAGTCATGTGAGCCCCAGTTGTCGTGGATCACGTGCTTCTTTGAAAGATCCAGAACGTCTTCCAATTTCTCGGAGTCGGCTAATTGGCAGTAATTCTCTCTAGTAGAGCTGAAATGCCGATGGGATCCCAGCTAACCATAGGTCACGTAGGTCACCGTAGAGGGCGAATACGTGCTACAAATCCTTTGGGAATACGAAATGAAGTAGAGCAGGCCGTGTATTTCGAGAGAATTCTATGGCTAGCGTGGAAAGACTCCGGAGCTCTCGGTTCCGGCTTATTAAGTATTGGCTTGCGGCCTTCATTAGATTCTAAGTATAATAGGCATAAATAAATTGCAGACCGTGAGAATTACTACTGACGCATAAGTCTGAGTTTGTTTATTTGTTTATTTACCAACCAAGTGCACCTAAATAGAGCGCAAGGACAGCAATCACGAAAGAATAGCCATATGCAAACAATAGCCAGCCAGAAAGATAAAAGTCATATCCAAAAATATTCACTAATAAATAAGCATCTGCTGAAATATTAATGCTTGCGGGACGTTAAGAGGTGGTCCCTCCCAGAATGAGAACGAGCGGTCTCCAAGCAAGAAAGACGCGACGCTTTTGCGACTCATAAAT